CTTCTTCTTCTTCTTCTTCTTCTTCTTCTTCTTCTTCTTCTTCTTCTTCTTCTCTTGATTTTTTTTTATTTTTCAAGACAAAGTTTCTCTGTATAGCCTTGGCTGTCCTGGACTTGCTTTGTAGACCAGGCTGGCCTCAAACTCACAGAGATCAGCCTGTTCTTGTCTCTCTGAGTGCTGGGATTACAGACATGCCCAGCTCCTTTTTTACTTATCTTCTTCTTGTCTCATTTTCCTTTTTTCTTTAATGTATTTATGGATTTCACTTAGAACCTTTGCTTCATCATTTATATGCCTCTCCTTTTGTTGAATGAATGAGTTAGAGTAAGAGAGCGAGCACGTGAGTGAGTAACTGAGTGACTGTGTGATGAGTCTGCCTTGACTAAAATTTCAGCTTTTCTCTGGAAAGTCTTTTCCATCAGTTTCTCTTTCCTTTCCAGTGCACTCTCATTAATTCTTACAGCATTAGAATCAGTGAACTTACAGCCCCCTTATTGGACAACTCCAATTTTACAGATAGGAACATAAGGACGGTGGAATAAAGGATTTTTGAATTCTCAGAATCACTCCTTTTTCGCCGTTTCAGAAGAGTGACTAGCACACAATAAAAAGCTTTCAGAAAGTGAAATTCTCAGAATACTTAAGCTGTCTTTTTCCTGTCATTCTTATGCATAAATAGTCAAAAGCCACTTACTTTTAAAGTAAGAACAAATTTGTGACATTAGTGATTATTTGGAGCAGAAAAAAAAAATGAATGGGATTTTGAAAGAAACTACATCCACAGTTATTCCATTCCTGATTCATTTAGAAACACGTTGTTCATTGAGATTCTCAAACCTGTGTCTTCACAGCCACACATCAGCATTTCCTCCACACACTGAGAGCTCCCAGGGGCATCTCTTCCTCAGCTCTTTCCACTGATGAAATTACCTCAAAACTCACCTCAAATATTCTACATTAGAATCATTCTCTTCCCAGACTACTTATAAAGACTCTAGGTGTCTGCATTGTACCTTCCACTTATATGAGAGGTCAGGGTCTGTGCTGTCAAGAAAAGGTGAGCAGAAAAGGAATCCTAGGCTTGGAGTCCACAACTTTTAGGTTCATTCTTGTTCCTTCTAACTACTTTGGTGAACTTAAACAAATTAAAGAAACAGCTTTAGCTTACATATACATAAGAATTTCAATGTTCTCCCTAATCTAAAAGTCTTTCCCAGCTCTGAGAATTTAATGATTCTTTCTTCTCAACTTTTCTCCCTTTCCAACAGTCTTAGGTTGGTGGCCCATTCTTAAGGACAGGGTGTTATCTTCTAGGTCTGGTTTCAGACATTTTTACAGCGCATCACCTAACACCCATTTCTCCTAGCTCCCTATTAGAATTGCCAACAGCAAAGAATCCATGTATGGAGAGACAACCACGTATCAAGCATCGGACCACACAATAGAGTTTATGCACTAAACAACATGCAGCTTAGAAAACATGATTATTTTCTAGTTCCATCCATTTACCTACAGGTTTCATGATTTCCTTGTTTTTAATAATTGAGTAATATTCCATTGTGTAAATGTACCACAATTTCTGTATCCATTCTTTGGTTGAAGGTCATTTAGGTTGCTTCAAGATTCTGGCTATTATGAATGAAGCTCCTATGAACATAGTTATATGGTGGAGCATCTTTGGGGTATATGGTCAGGAGTGGAATAACTGGGTCTTGAGCCAAACTTTGGGCAGAGCACAGGAAATTGTAGGAAAGAGTTCTGAGAGAGTTATGGGAAATAGAAGGAACTGGAGTGGACGGGAGCTCCATAAGAAGACCAACATTGCCAACAAATACTGACCCATTGGGACCTGCAAAGACTGATATACCAAACAAGGATGATGCATGAAGAGAAGATAGATCCCCTCCCTGCTCAGATATAACTGATAGGCACCCAGTCTTCATGTGGGTTCCCTAGTAAGGGGAGCAGGAGTTGTCTCTAGCATCAACTCTGTTGTCTGCTCTTTGATCACTTCCCTCTGGTGGGGGGTGGGTATTGCCAGGCCACAGAGAAAGAGAATGTAAGCAGTCCTAATGAGACTTGATAGGCTATAGTCAAATGGTAGAGGAGGAGGGCCCCGATTTCTGATAAATAGGGGAGGGGAATAGGGGGAAAGGAGAAAGGAGAATGGGATCTGGAGGGAGGTGGCTGCAATCAGGATATAAATTGAATAAATTATAAAAGATAAAGTTAAATTTTTAAAAAAATAAAACATGTTTATTAACAAAGTGGATGAATATTTACTGCACACTGTATTGCTACCTGATGATAAAGTCAACAAAAATAGCATTGGCTTGAATTGAGTTCTCTAAGCTGGTGAGAAGGCTATATGAAAAAAAAGGATTGTTACTTCCTTATCTGCCTTATCTTTTTGTACTACATTCAACCATTTCCCCCCAGACAATCTATTATTAAGATACCTCGGCATTAATCCTGATGAGACTTGATAAGCTACAGTCAGATGGCAGTGGCAGAAGACTTTCCCTTTCAGTGGATTAGGGGAAAGGGTAGAGGATAGGGGGAAGAAGGAGGGAGGGTGGAACTGGTAATAGATGATGGAGGGGACTACAATCAGGATATAAAATGAATAAATTGTAAAAATTAAAAAAAATAACTCAGCATTAAAACCAAAACTATTTTGGGTTTATTTTTTGTTTTATTTTATTAAAGGAAGAAACAGATTTGCCTAATTGGCCCAGGTAACCATAAGTGATTAACACAAAGAGCTGTATATCATGCTTAACTGAAGATCCTAATTCCCATCGTTTCAGTAGGTGCCTCCTGGATATCTGTACCAAAGCTCATGCTTCATACGAAGCCCAGCATGCCACCATGTGACTTCTCGCCCGAGAGATACCAGGTAAGACCCAGGGGTTCAGAAGAGAAAAAAAAAAGAGGTCACCCTTGGGAGATCACAAGACTTCCAAAGTTGTTCACCAACGGACACACAAATAATACTTCTATGTCAGTCAACAATCTTATGCTAGCCTATTCCTTAAGTCTTACAGAATATCTGAAGCCTTCTTGCACTATTTTTAGCTATATATGAACTAATGAGCATATGTGAGATAGAGATAGAAAGCACAAGAAAGGAATATTACAAGATGATACATACACAATTAATGGGCATACACTCAGTGTGAAATCACTTGCTTTTTATTTTATAATGCTCTTATCTTAGTTTATGCACGGCAACACATCACACGACCTTTCTATGTTCCCCCCCCCGCCAAAAAATATGTTTTCCTGTTGTCAGAGTAACAATGATTTCTCTCTGTGTCTCCTCTCTTCTCACCCCCTCCCTCATACACACAGCAATCATTTTATTCTACATCATTGTTAGACCTAAATTTTAAATTCAATAATCAGGTGCTATCTAGAAGAAAAACATGGGCATGGTGCTTAGTGTTAATTGTCAACTTGATAGAATCTAAAAGCAACTGAGAAGTGACCCCCTTGTGTGCCTGTGGAGAATTATCTTGATAACACTGACTGATGTTTAAAAATTCTTTTTAATTTCGAGTGGGAATATTCCCGAGCTTAGGGTACTGGACTGAATAAAGAGGACAAGCTGACTGGGCACATGCATTTGTTGTTCTGTTTCTTGGTTGTGAGTACAACATGACCAGCCCTGTCAATATCTTTTCACTGTGACTTACCCCCATGATAGACTAGAGCCTGAACGGTGAGCCAGAATAAACCTGCCCTTAGTTTGCTTTTGTTTGTTCGTTTGTCTGCTTGCTTTTTCTGGTTTTTGTGTTTGAGACAGTGTCTCCCTATGTGATCCTGGCTGTCTAGGACCAGGCTAGCTTTAAACACATAGAGATCCACCTGTCCCTGCCTTATGAGTGATGGGATTAAAGCTCTGAACCCCTCATGGCCAATTTAAGTCACTTTGATCAGAGTATTTTATCACAGCAACAGGGGAAAAAAACAAACTCTAAGATGTTGGAAGCGGTTTTATTATTTACAACATGCTGGGTTAGAGAATTGGCTCAGTGAGTAGGATGTTGGCTAGGAAGTATAAGGACCTAAGTTCAGATTCCCAGTCACCACATAAAATGCTGGGCATGACAACACAAATGGCCATCACAGTGATACTGGGAAAACAGCCCTGCTCTTAGAATCAGTGAGCTCCAGAGTCAGCGAGAGACCAGTGTCCAAAAACCAATGTGAAGAACAATTGAAGAAGATACTCAACATTGAGATTGTCCTCACACACACATTACCTGGGCACACCTGCCTGTGTATCTGTGTATTTACACACATGTACACATACATACAAGTGTATTCAGAGAGAGAAAGGTTTGGTCTGAAACTCAGTGGTAAGGCCCTGCCCTAGCATGCACAAGGAAGGCCTTGGACTCAATGGCCAACATCACCACCACTTCATTTATTTGGTTTGCTTGTTTGTTTGTTTGTTTTTGAGGTAGGTTCTTTCTATGTGGCCCTGGCTGTCCTGGAACTCGTGAAGATCCATCTACCTTTGCCTCACAAGTTCTGGAATTAAAGGTGTGTACCTCCATGGCCAGCCATTTATTTAGTTAAGTTTTGTTTTGTTTTTAATTTTTGAAAAACCTATAGTAACAAATATGACATTAATTTAAGTACTTATTTCCAAACTTTTTTATTTTATATTTATGGTAAAATCAACTTGAAACCCAGGCTTTCCATTAAGAAGTCAGTACTCCAGTTCCCGTCATTATGTACACCTTAGGAAGGAATCATAAATAAAAAAAGGAATACAATGAATAGCATCACCTGCTAAACAAAAAAGACTTCAATTTTCTCAGGACATATTAGGTAATGTGCCCAATAGTAAGCCTTGTGGGAATCAGTCATGTGTTCAGGTCATAAAAAGGACTAGGACCTACTCTGCATCTTGTAGGACCCGGGACTAAGAAAACAAATTTTAATTTGTCTATCCATAGTCCCTTGCCTACAGCCGAGTCCTGGAAATTCATAAGCAGCACCTTTCTCCTGTGGAAACAGCATATTTCCAGAAGCCTTTGCTGCTCCACCAAGGACATATGGAGTGGCTCTTTGATTCTGAGGGAAACAGATATCTGGACTTCTTCTCCGGGATTGTGACTGTTAGTGTTGGTCACTGCCACCCGTGAGTATCCTTAAAGTCCAGAAAAATGTGGGGAAACTATCATTCATGCAACTCGGAAGCCTTGCTTCATACACCCTGGTTTTGGATTATATCTGTTACAGTCTGTAACGGCATGAACCTACATGCTTTCTTCTGCAAGGAAACAAGCAAACTTGATTCTGCACAGTTTTTCTTGCTGATGGAAGCTTTGGTCATCTCTATTACACATGCAGTGTGGGACTCACTGTCTGTGTGTTTCTTAATGAAGAAAGCTTTCCAAAGGCAGGGATAGACTGAGGAAAAGGGCAAGTGGCATGCAGCGGCCAAACATAGACACAGGTGCTTCGCATGAAGTATGAATCAAGAGAAATAACGGCTAGATCCACAGCAGATCACCTCTGTGGACTCTGAGAGACTGGTGGGGAATGAAATTATAACAGAGGGATTCAACCCTAGCTGGAAATTTACTTAGAAATGTGTGAAATAAAGTTAAAATTATCTGAAGCCATGGCCAGCTCTCCACACACACTTTCAGCACACTTATCCCTGATCCTCTCAGTTTCTATGTGGCCATTCCCATCTCTTAAAAATTTATTATATAATATGCTATTTTATTATAGTTATGATGACACTTTTTTAAACGTATTTGTAACTGAAAGAGGACTACATCACTTTCCACCCCTAGCCTTTCCCACCTACCCTCCCTTCTTACATTTCACCCACTCTCAAGTAGATAATCTTTTTCTTGATTGTGTTTGTTATGTAGATATGTGTTGCACAGACATATATTCATATAACCTGCCAAGTTTATTTTGTTGTTCATGTGTCTGCAGTTTCAGAGCTGACCACTCTGCATGGAGCAGCACTAAGGGGCTCATCCCTGGGAGAGGATAAAAGCCTTCTCCCAGGAGTCAATGCCTGCCTACAGCTCTTTCCCTAGGGGAGGAAACTTTCCCTCTTCCAACATTAACTTGCTTGTTGGGCTTCCACGCTCAGCTTTCTCCTTCCCTACTTCCCATTCTTGCCTCTTTTGTTTCCAGGAGGTGCAAGTCCTGAGCATACAAGCTAACGTTCATGAAGCAGAGAACCACATAAGCTGAATCATCTCAGCGCTGACAATGTCCCGGACAGTGGACATCTCTCTCATGACTTTGTACCGCTTCTAATCTCCACCTGACCCTGACTCTGGGGATCATTGTTCTGTCTTTATCTCCGTGTCTCCTTCTTTCTTTACTTCTTTCATCTTGCCTTTATAACTATCCTCCTGCCCTGTTTATGTAGCTATATTTTCCTCCTGGTTATCCAAAATAATAGCTTTAGTCTTGGAGCCTCACCAAAAGACAATAACAAGTTGGATACACTCAGAGAATGCATCAGGCTGCCCCACATTCCTCAGTACTGTACAGAATATCTCCTAACTCAACATATTCTAAAACTAAATCCATCTTCTCCACAAAATGAACTTTAGTCACGTAGTCACTTATTCAGGAAATACATGTGAAACCTGCTGGAGAGACAGTTGTATCCCTCAGTCATTCCTGGAATTTCCCAGAGTTCTAGGCAAGAAAGTCAAGATTGTCTTTGAGTTTTCCTTCTTTTCATTTCCTACAGCCAACCTGATAGCATAGATCTGGAGCCTCCACTGAATACTCCCTAACCCTAGGGTTTTCTCTTTCCACAGTTCTCATCAACACAGATGTCTTCAGAGCTCTTCTCTTCTCCAGGGGAAGGGAACTTTGTCCATGTAGCTGGCTACTTCATTAGAAATAATTCATGTCCTTTCCATTCTACATGTCATGTAGCTCTTAGATTTATTTCTATCAGTGATGCTGTTCTCAAGGATCTCATCTCTTTTTAAAAAATTTTATTGACACTTTACAATTTTCTTAAGTGGGGTTTGCGAAATAATAATCACAGGAGTTGCCCCTTGGAAAGGAGTTCCAAAAAATGATAACAATGAGACACAGTATGAACTCTCCCTCTCTCCTTCTTAGGAGTAGCACTATTCCAGGCAAAGGCACTAACAAGTCCCATAGCAAAGGAATTTCTTTAGGCTGGTATGTCTCAAGATTATTCAATCATTGACCTAATTTTTTGGTGTGTCCGATATTAATAGCAAAGAGAATTGGTATGAGTCAAACCCTAGGCACTGCCACCCATTAGATCAAGTTCAAACATCACCACCTTCCCAAGGCCCTCCTATCTGGGCCCTGCATGTTTATCTGCCTTTAGTTGCTATTTGGTCTCATCATGAGCTTTCTGACCTGTACAGTTAAACTGAGGATGAGATTTCAGCATTATAAGATATTTCTTACCACCAAACACTGCTCCAACAAGAGGAGTGGAGTCCTCCTGAAACTCTTGAAGAAGTAGTGCAGAGTCCAGACTCAAGGGCCCAGGGGAGAGGACGTGCCTGCGGGTGGTGTGTGCTTAACTGGGTCTATGTTTCTCCAGGAAGGTAACTGCAGTAGCACAGAAGCAGATGAACCACCTGTGGCACACTAGTTCTGTCTTCTTCCACTCTCCAATGCATGAATATGCAGAGAAGCTTTTGGCACTTCTTCCTGAGCCTCTTAAGGTACAGTGCTCCCAGCTCACAAGAGTGGGGACCTGTGATCCCAAGGGATTTGGTCTGAGCATTGAAAGTCTGCCATGGTAAAGAGGTAGCCATACCTAAAAGCACTCAAGCTGAAAAAAGAGGTCTATGAGCTGCTGCTGAAACAGTCCAACATTCACATGTGTGCCCTCTGAGCCCCCTGCCTTTCTCTCTTTGGTCATCTTCTTGCATCTCTCCAGAAATCTCTTTTTGGGAATCCCAGCCCTCCAGATGCTCTTCGGTATGATGAAGAGATTTCCTTCTTTCTACTCCACATTATTTCTGCAAAGTTAGTTTCATTTCTTCTTTTATAAATGCCGGGGCTATTAATTATAAATAAATAACATTAATCTAAAATGCACCTAGACGTTTTAATGGAATGGGATATTTTCTGCATCTGAAATGAGTAAAAGTTGACACTGAACTGACATCTAAAGACCTTTGCCAAGATTTAAATGCAGGCATTAAATGAGTACATAAATGTGTGTGTGTGTGTGTGCGTGTGCGCGCGTGCGTGTGCGTGTGTGTGTGTGTGTGTGTGTGTGTGTGTAAGATTTATGCTAGTGCTCAGCACATAGGTCTTAGTTATTACTTTACTCAATCATCTCGATATTCCTTTTAGTATGTTATCCAGAATAGAAGAAGACATTTGGAATGGCCATCACTTGTGTTCAGATCCAGAGTTCATGGCAGAGTAGAAACAGGGTAGTCAGAAAAGCAGCCAATGCATGCTTCCTTAACCTTGTTCAGAGGAGCTGGACCTCTTCAGTTCTTCCCATCATTTTGTTCAGACTGAGCTGAATTTTGTTTCCACAGTCACACAGCAACATCAAGGTGGGATAACTCAAGCTTCTAGGTTGAGGCCCTGCCTCATTCAATGCCTCCATTAGTAAGTACATAGGATGAGTTATGTTTAGGCACCAAAGAACCTCATCCATGGCTAGTCTCTGCTGCTAACCACCATTAGCCTTTCCAAGAGTTTTTCCATCTTCCCATTTTGCAGCTCATCCATTAAAGCTAATAAAAAAAAAACTCAGACTGTCACAAATGAGTCAACCTCTAAGCCATTTTTTTTTTTTAGCATATAACAGTTGTTCAAGGAAGGGATGTAGCATTTGTGTAGTAGTTAAAAGGGGGAGAGTGATGGAAACAGAAGCTGACCTAAAGGGAATTCTTTTTTTTTGCCCTTTTTAAAAATTTTTATTACAACTTATTTACTTTGTATCCCACCTGTAGCACCCTCCCTCATCCCCAATCCTCTTCTAATCCTACCTTCCCTCCCCCTTCTTTTCCTATGACCCTCCCTGAGTCCACTGATAGGGGAAGTCCTCCTCCCCTTCAATTTGACCCTAGTCTATCAGGTCTCATCAGGACTGTCTACATAGTCTTCCTCTGTGGCTTGGTAAGGCTGCCCCTCCCCCTCAGGGCGAGGTGATCAAAGAGCCAGCCACTGAGTTCATGTCAGAGACAGCCCCTTTTCCCTTACTAGGAAACAACTTGGACACTAAACTGACATTGGTACATATGTGCCGGTGTTCTAGGTTATCTCCATGAATGGTCCTTGGTTGGACCATATCAGTCTCAGGAAAAACTCTACCCAGCAGGGTATTAAAGCAGATGCTGACACTCATAGTCAAGCTTTGGGCAGAGTACAAAAGAAGCAGGAGATAGAAAGACCGTGAGGGAACAGAAGCTCCAAAAGGAGAGCAACAGAACCAAAGGGAACTCTTTTTAACAGATGCTAGACTGCATGGTCTTTAGCAATGTCACATGAATCGAGCAACAGAGAACTAAAGTACTATGTCATGTGTCTTCCTTTCCTCATGAGGTCATTTTCTTGGTGAACAGTGGATCAGAAGCCAATGACCTGGCCATGGTGATGGCCAGAGCATACTCAAATCACACAGACATCATTTCTTTCAGGTAACCGTATTTTATAACATTCATCTTAGCAACACTGACTCATCCCAACACTAAATGTGCATTTATAAGTTGTGGCACAGAAAAGAAGCATTTCCCCAGCATTCTTCCAATGTCCAGTTGAGGGCAGGATCAAACCAGCAATTTTGGTGGTAGATAAGTCCATCCAAATTGGTCTCATAAGCTCCTAATGAATATATTAGCATTTAAAATAACAGAAAAGTGTGTTCCTAGTTTGCATCCTTACCACATAAAAGACACAAATAACATAGTAGAAAAAGGTGATGAAACAAAGAAGTTACTCCAGTGTTAAATCCATATCAGAATGATTTTTATCTAAATCAAAGATTTGTGTCATAGCACACCACAGATTACATGTAAAGCACACGTGTGTTTTTTCATAAGCCTAAAGAAACATTGTGTTATCAAATAAATACGGTAATAATGTATTGTGAGTGTATCTTATCAAAATAACCTTTCAGAACACTTCCAGATAAGTATTGATCTATTTGAAGCAGTCCAGTACTATTGACCAGAATTTGACGTATTTCTTCCTCCCTTTTCATGACCATTCTTTCACATAAAATTTGGAGCTCAATGAAGGATGACTCTGACGTGGAAACTGATTATGATGATTTATACTAAGAATGACTGTTTCAGGTTCAAAGGAAACCAAAACTGTTTCTTACTTGGTAAATAATGTCCCATGAGTCACACAAAGAGGACAGCACTCCCCAGTGACACTGAGAAGCAGTTTCATCACAGGAGTAAATATTTGTCTTCCTAAGGTGATCACTTTGAAGATTAGCACTTGTTGGCCATGGAATCTCTGGAACGCCACCTAGAAGAATCAATCCCATTATTTTAGAGTGACAAAATTAAGATTCAAAATTAGGACTCCTTGGCAAACAGATCTCCAAAATTATTTTCACAGTTTCAGCTCTCTGAGACCAATGGAAAATAGCAATGAACACATCCATATTAATAGGTTTAGATAAATTCTTAAAAGGTGTCGGATGCAAATGTTTGTGTTGTTCTTATTTGTTCCATGTTTTCATACATTTTTTTTCTTTTGAAGTAAGTAGACTATCAAAGAGAAATAAGCTTGACCTCATCCTCTCATGTTTTGTTTTGTTTTCAGAGGAGCCTATCATGGATGCAGTCCCTATACAATTGGCTTGACAAATGTAGGGCTCTACAAGATGAAAATCCCCAATGGGATGGGCTGCCAGCCAGTAAGTTCTGAGACTTTCATCTTGTTTCACTAAGGACTACTGGGATTATAGAATAGTTGATCAAATTTTTCTGATATTGGAATTAAAAACTAACAAAAAGCCTGCCATTAACTAGGGCCTCAATTTTATTTAAAAAAAATAAAAGGCCAGTTAAAGAAAATCTTTCTCAGAAATGCCCTTAGAGTTTGAGTAATGGTCAGTGATGGTGAGTTAAATTGTATTTTGCTCATGCGTTCAATCTGAGAGACTCAAGGCACTTAGAAACTTGAATACACAAAGTTTCTATCAAGTAATGCCTATCATCACTTTGTGTTACCGTGCACCATGCCCACCTTTTTCAGCATCAGAACCAGATACCTAATTATCTTCATTCTTTATGATGCTCTTACCTACTAAACCCTTGAGAAAGTTGCTTCTGGGCTAACACCAAAATTAGTTTTCTTTAAAGAGTGGCCACATAAGTAATTTCTAAGAAAAAGAAGATTACATTTTTATTGTTAAGGAGAGAGGAATGAAAGAGTCTCAATATCAAATTAAGAAGCCCACTAGCATTAATTGTCACCACATACGTCCCCAAATTGACTATCTTTTTTAGTGTTTTTCCGAAGTCCTTCTTTTTCTCATTTGCAGACAATGTGCCCAGATGTTTTCCGTGGCCCTTGGGGAGGAAGCTACTGTCGAGATTCTCCAGTGCAAACAGACAGGAAATGCAGCTGTGCTCCAGGTCCAAATGGGCAAGGAGGAAGTGTAGAGTTGAAAGTTGGGGGCGGGGGGAGTTTAAAGAAGGGTGAAACAATCAAATTTGGAAAATCGGGAAAGGGAAAGGCCAGAGGGAAAAAAGCCTAGAAAATGATAAATGATCCCTCATTGACTCAGCGCTTGTCATACCCGCTCTTGTTTAACTGTCTCTGCTGCCATCTGGCCATGTGGGAAATGTGTCTCTTTTCCTAAGATGTATTCCTAAAAGTAGTGTGTCACCTGACAATTAAGTAGGTGTATGAAATGAGTGCTATCATTCACCGGTTCCCAAGAGGAGAGGGGAACAAGGAAAAGGATACATCAGAAAATCTCAGAACACCAGTCAAGAAACTCTCCAGGGAGCTCAATTGCTAGCCAACCAGCATCTGTTGGCCATGGGGCTGTATGTGGATGCCACTGCCACTGCTGTTTATTGCATGAGTTTTAGTCAGTCTCACCAGGGAAGTTCTATTTATCAATCACATTTTTATTTGAACTCATAACATGAAAGGGAAGAGGAATGGAAATACCATCGGTTCTTTTCTAGTCCAATTTGTCATCAGAGTACAGAACCTTTTGAACAGCTGCTCCTCAGGAGTTCTAATGGAAAGAACAAGTGCCCCAGCCAAAAGATATTTAATAGAATGGGGTGAGTCACTAGGTTGAGAGGAAGAAGAAAAAATAAGAACCTTAAAAACTCAGATTTAAACAGAAAAAAAAATTTACAGCCACCTTAAAATTCATACAGGATAATAATGAAATGGAGAATGACAGATTGAGCATTGGAACAAGACAAAATGTCATGGTCACAAAAATTAAAAACACACTGAAGGTTTTAGCTACAACTCAAACTCTTAGTTTTGAAGAAGACAAGCCAAGATCCACATTCAGGAAGTAGCAAAACTAGGATTTGACTGCAAGTCTTCAGATCCCATATCTAGTGTATTCAATCCTTGTGACCACCCTCATTCACACTAGTGAGCCAGTAAGGTGGGTCCAAGCTGAAAATAATTCCTTTCCTTCTTCTTTTTCATGTGTGAGGACCTGAGTAGAATCAAGATATCTAGACTCCACTCCATCTTGGGCTTCAGTTTTCTCACTTGTAAAAACAATAATAGTAATGATAATGATAATAATAATAGTAATAGCAGCAAAGGGGAGCAAGGCCTGTGCATCACTCCTATCTCACTACTTCATGAGACCAGACATGTACAAACCTTTGTGGAGGAAAACATTTCATAACAGCTTTAATTTCCTTAGGGCTAGTATGTATGTCATATTATGTGTAACATCAGGAACTAAAGTCAGCCAAGTGTATCTCATGGTTCTCAGGCCATTTGCACAGCCACTAGCAAAGTCTAGAAGACTGGAGAACTTCAGAGCTAGTCACTTCCTTCCCTCTACTTTCCATACCCCCTTCTGTCCATCTTTTCTGTATTCTTTCTCTTGGAGGTCTTCACCTAACCATCTTGAAAATAAAAGCACACCATGATAATCTAAGTGTGATCTAAGAGATACATGATAGTGGAAGATGTATGTCGTTTTTCACGTGTGTATAGGCTCCTGTTTTCTTATCTCATAGATACAAGAATCATACCACATTTTATTTATTTTCCCTTTTATTGAAAATACATTCTATTCTCACATATTATACCCTGATTACAGTGTCCCCTTCCACTGCTCCTCCCAGTTCCTCCCTACATGCCCTCTTATCCAGATCTGCTCCCCTTCTGTCTCTCATTAGAAAAGAACAAGCTTTGAAAAGATAACAGCCAAACATAACAAAATAAAATATAATAAAATGAAACAAAAACCATCACATAAAAGTTGGACAAGAAAAAACAAACACAAGAAAAAGAGCCCAAGAGAAGGCACAAGAATCAGAGAACCACTCAGGAGTCCCATAAAAAAATAAAACTAAAGCTATAATATGTACTGAGGGGACCTGGTCCAGACCATAGCAGGCTGTGTTTGCTGTGTCCATCTCTGTGAGTTCATATGAGCTGCACTCGTGTTGATTTAGAGGACCTTCTTCTCCTGGTGTCCTCCATCCTCTCTGGCTATTACACTCTTTATGCCTCCTCTTCTTTGGGGTTCCCTGAATTATGAAGAGAGTTATTTTATGGAGACATCTCACTTAGAGCTGTGACTCCACATTTTTAAATAAAATACAGAAGTGAACTTTGGACATGTCAAGTAATTTTAATGTAGATGGTTCAAGTTTACAAGTTGCTTCTAGGGTTTTCTCACTGGATACATACAAGTACCCACCAGAGTAGGGATATTTTCATTTCACAATTGTATTATCAAATCTTAGCTTAGACAGGAGCCAGTTTGTTATTTTTATGTAGTAGGTTTCATTATCTTCTTCTGTCTACCTCCCTGATTTTTTTATTCTCCAGAGATTCATTCTAAGCCTTGATTTCTAGGCGTACCATATGATGGGATTTATTTCTTATCACCCACTGACCTTACTCTCTCCCAAAGCTGGTACTGGTTGTGCCATTATCTCCTTTTTGAAAATGAACTCTTTCTTTTCCTTAAAAATATTGTTCTTTCTTGATTTCTCACTCTGCTTACCTCTTTCTGTCACAACAACCTAAATTGTCTCCAGAGTAATAACTCTGTTATGATATCCAACAGAGCATCCACATTTTTCTGATGTTGCCATGGAGACATCAGTGCATCCTATCTCTCTCCATAGGGGTCTGACCTGGTTACAGGAATCAGCCAATGCAACACATATGAAATGGCGAAAACACAGTAGATGGTCCTTCTTCTCACCAAACACATGGATAAGGGAGAGTAAAAATATTAAATGTGTAGGATAAACTCAAGAATATCTTTCTTTTTTTCATTTTTTATTAATTACAGTTTATTTACTTTGTATACAGCTGAAGACCCCTCCCTCATTCCCTCCCAATCCCACCCTCCCTCCTCTCCTCCCATGCCCCTCTCCACGTCCACTGATAGGAGAGGTCATCCAACCCTTCCCTCTGACCCTAGCCTATCAGGTCTCATCAGGACTGGTTGCATTGTCTTCTTCTGTGGCCTGATAAGGCTGCTCCCCCCTCAGGGGGAGATGATCAAAGATCTTTCTATGGTATGAGTTTCATCCTAACTTAAGAACTTAGAGCTGATTTTCCTGTTATTATTTCCTTAGTTACAAAAGAGCTTGTTAAAGCTATGAATCAGGCCTTTTGTTCATGTTTGATATATCTTTTAGAGTCATCTAAGACTCTTGTTTCTTCCTTTCCTAATAAAAATAGAGAAATTGGCTCCAAAGATATCAGGTATCTATGTCAATAAAGCTTTTCTAAATGTCACATGCATCCTCACAAAATGATGTTTTTCTCACTTTTTAATGGAGCTGGAATATAAATGCACTTGTGTTTAGTTTCCTTTTATACTTGTTGAGGATTTGTCTTTTCTAGTCTCCAGGATACAGGCTGCATGCATGTCTCTAAGCATATGGTGGGATGGCAGTCGTCTCCACACACAGACCCCTGAGGTACTTTCGCATGAGATGGGCTGAGGCCTCCCACCCCATACACATTTCCTTTCCATTCTTTCTGTGGGTATAGATTTGAGATTAAGTTTAGAGATGCTGTGGTGCTGTTGAGAACTAAACCTATAAATATAGATAAACATTCTTAAAGTTCAGTCATGTGTAGATACTACTCATCTTGCTTTTCTTCTTCCAGGATAGTTTCTATATCCACAGGTGGCACGCACAGATGGTGGTTCATGGAGCTTTGGTAAACTTCCTGAGCAATGTTCTGGCTCTTTGTTGTTTTCTCACACGTACAGGATTTTATGCTTCTTTCTCTGTGTATTAAGGCTTACATACAGGGATGCATCCATATCCACCACCACAGATGTTTCCAGTATCTTGCAGCAGGGTAGAAATACAAACATGTAACTTCTGAGACATTTGGAATAGATGGACAGCTGTTGCCAGACTTAACATGGCAGATAGTCTAGATTACCTCCATCTGAAACCAACTAAAAATAATGCAGAAAATGTGAAACATGCCCTCATTGAAATTTAGAATAATACAAGAGCATAAGAAAGCCTGAAAATCTTGTAATAGTTGATTAATACTAGTAAAAGTTTTCAAATGCTTTTCCAAAATTAACTACAATAGTCAACGTTCACGTTTGTGAAAAAATTAAATTTTCTACAACAAAACTTAAATATGTCACTTTTAAATGTTTCCAAATGTGAACCCAGAAAGAATTATTCTACCCTTCAAAATACACCTAGAATTAAAGTAATAAGTAAGTGTGACTAAGGAACATAGGAAACTCTAATTATTCTTTCCTACAATTTGGCAAACAAAGAAAGAAACCCAGAACACATAGACAACAAATTGAAATTTCTATGTGGAGAAAGAAGAATCCTGTGCTCAGAAGACATTGTTTTCCTTCTCAATGAAAAGTTTTAAATATGAAAATTAGTTAAACATAAAATGGTTCATTGTAAAGAGTAAATCTTGCCACTTGACTAACACTTTCCATAGATGCTGTAAGCAAAAGTATGCTACAAGTCACAATTTGCTGTGAGATATATTTTTATTTATTTATATATATATATTTTTATTTATTTATTATTAATTACACTTTATTCACTTTGTATAAGTGAATAAAGCCTCTCCCACCTCCCCTCTAGATCTCACCCTCCCTCCCCCTTCTTCACGCATGCCCCTCCCCAAGTCCACTGATAGGGGAGGTCCTCTTCTCCTTCCTTCTGATCTTAGTCTATCAGATCTCATCAGGAGTGACTGCATTGTCATCTTCTGTGGCCTGGTAAGGCTGCTCCCCCCTCAGGGGGAGGTGATCAAAGAACAGGACAATCAGATTATGTCAGAGGCAGTCCCTCTTCCCATTACTATATAACCCACTTGGACTACATCTGGGCAGGGGTTCTAGGTTATCTCCATGAATAGTCCTTGGTTAGAGTATGAGTCTCTGGGAAGTTCCCTGTGTTCAAATTTTCTTGTTCTGTTGCTTTCCTTGTGTGGTTCCCATCCTCTCCAGCTCTTACTGTTTCCCACTTCTTACATAAGATTCCATGCACTCTGCCCAACAGTTGGCCATAAGTCTCAGTGTCTGCTTTGATAGTCTGCAGGGGGCAGAGCCTTTCAGAGGCTCTCTATGGCAGGTTCCTAGCTTGTTTCCTGTTTTCTTCTTCTTCTGATGTCCAACCTCTTTGCCTTTCAGGATGGGGATTGAGCGTTTTAGTCAGGGTTCTCTCTCTTGCTTAGTTTCTTTAGATGTACAGTTTTTAGTAGGTTTATCTTATGTTATATGTTTATATGAGTGAGTATATACCGTGTGTGTCTTTCTGCTTCTGGGACAGCTCACTCAGGATGATCCTTTCCAGTTCCCACCATTTACCTGCAAATTTCATGATTTCTTTATTTTTCATTGCTGAGGAATATTCCATTGTGTAGATGTACCACAATTTCTGCATCCATTCTTCAGTTGAGGGGCATCTGGGCTGTTTCCAGCTTCTGGCTATTACAAATAAAGCTGCTACAGACATGGTTGAGCAAATGGGGAACAGTGGGGGCCTTGAGCTTTAGGTTTTAGTTTTAAGTTCCCTCAAAGAGCAGGTGAGAAATGACAAGTTCTGGGGCATGTCCACAAAACAAGATATAACAGAAGCCTCTCCTGGAGTCCAAAGAGGCCAGACTCTCTTTCATGGGCACCGGAAGCTGATGGAGGTGAGAAGCAGTAGAAGGGTTCTCCCACCGAAGGGAAGTCTGGGAGACTTAGTAGGAATCACAACTGAAAATCTAAACTATTGACTGCCCATGAAGAGGCTTTGCATTCTGAACGCTACTACCTGGCTGCTTTCGAGGACAGGAATGCCCTGTGTTCCCGGAAGCTGCAAATGAATGTATTCTGATGAACCTACCTCATTCTCGGCTTCAAAGAGTACTCACCAATACCAAGGAAAATAAGCCAGCCATAGTCAAAACTAACACACAAGGAAACATAACTCTACATTCTAGAAAAAGACCACGAAAAGTTCATACAATAGAATTGTCAGACAGTGTAATGTACATGTTCAATACATTTACTGAAAATTAAATAGTAAATATAAATTTGAAATGACAATCAGTGCTTAAGAAACTACAAAATGACAAAGCGGTTTAAAAAAATTAAAAAGTATATCCTCTAGTAATCTCTAGTAATAGTTATTGAAGTTTAAAACTCAGGGGCTAGCTAGGTTTATCCTCAATTCAGCTCAGCCAAAGACGGGGTTAACATATTAAAGATATTCCCTGAACAGCAGTTGTCTCCCTAGCCAGAGACTGTCAAATAAAATTGCTCACTATATCACAGACCTGTCACAGTTTCTACTATTATTTCTCTCTAATTCTTTAGGAAATTGCTGAGCTCCCACAGTGTACTGGACTCTTGGCATAGTCACAATTCCAAAACTGAGTGTGCCCTCAGTGAAAGAAGAAAGGCTTATAAGTAAGAGACACAGAAGTAAGAGTGGAGAGCTACCATGGAAAGAACTTATATCTCCCTCTAACACATCCTTCTTTAGACTGGATTCTGATTGTTATATAAGCATATTTACTGGCGGAACGCAAAAGCACTCTGCAGTTTAAAATGTGTATTAGATGAAGTGGCAATAAACAGTAGAGTTATATCTGAGTATCATAAGTTGCCTCAACACTTGAGTCAGATCTACCCATTTAAAAGGATGGTCCTGTCTTTTCTGAGACTGACATTCAACCAAGGACGGTGTATGGATATAACCTAGAACCTCTGCTCAGATGTAGCCTGTGGTAGCTCAGTAACCAATTGGTTTCCCATAGTGAGGGGAACAAGGACTATTTCTAACAGGAACTCAATGACTGGCTCTTTGGCCTCCCCACCCCCCAAGGGAGGAGCAGTCCTGTTAGGCCACAGAGGAGAGCTTTGCAGCCAGTCCTGAAGCTACCTGATAAAACAGGATCAGATGAATGGGGAGGAGGTCCCCCCTATCAGTGGACTTGGCAAGGGGCACGGTGGAGAGGAGGGAGGAAGGGAGGGACTGGGAGGGAATGAGGGATCGGGACACGGCTGGGGTACAGAGTTAATAAAATGTAACTGATAAGAAAAAAATAAAAGTAAAAAAAATAAAAGGATGGTCCTTAAATGAAATGGCTGTCTATACTAGACTTAATGATACTTTGATGTGTTTCTTCCACAAATGGAATTATTTAAGTGGCTTGTTTATGTTTTTATCACCATCCTCCTAAAGTCATTCCTGCATAATGCCCTTCCTTTCAGAGATAAATATCCTTGGATCCCAGCTCATCACAGTCTGAGGATCTTCCAGACTTTTTTTCCAAAAGCCATTCTCACATCAAATGCTGTGACTTCTGAATGTGTGTATGTGTTTGTTGCAGACTGCTGCCAAGCTAAAGAACAGTATATAGAACAATTCAAAGACACACTGAACACTTCAGTGGCCAAGTCGATTGCTGGATTTTTTGCAGAGCCAATTCAAGTGGGTATACAAACTGAGTATCTCTCCAAATGTCCCATTATCACAGTTTTGACTCCAATTTAATTAAGCACTCAATTCTGTGTTCCTTGTCTTATTCAATTCATTGGTCCCCTTTTTTTAAAAGTTGCTTTTCTGTTGGCCTTCAAAACTACGTCTCTTTCTTTCCCACACTGAACAGATGATGAGATAAGTAGGTGAAGCTACTGAATTCCTAAAGTCCTCAGGAAAAGAAACCCTTTGATTTTTAACTGTTAAACTCATACTGTCTAGGAAAGCTCATCTTTAATTCATCAAGCCTCCTTGTTTTTAACCTCAGGAAAAAGAAGAGTCACATCTCTTCCCCCTCTAGGCATGGTACAAAAGTCCAGGTTGGAACAATTCTACATGCTGCTCATTCAGCTGATAGCACTGATGTCATGGTGATGAGGAGAACAATCTAGTCTCGATAGCACTAGGCCAGGGCTCCCCCGCCGACACTGACATCTCCCTGATCTGATCTTTTACAGGGTGTGAATGGTGTCGTCCAGTACCCGAAGAAGTTTCTGAAGGAAGCCTTTGCATTGGTTCGAGAGAGGGGAGGTGTGTGCATTGCAGATGAAGTGAGTGGCGCAATCAGTGAGTGAATTAGTGAAGTGGGAGGAGGCCAGATAAAGAAAGAGATTTCTTCAAGCCCTCTTTGGTATTTCAGGCAGAAAGCAAGTGCGTGAACTCTGGGGTATGACCATAAACTAAAGAAGCCTCAGCTGGTTTGATACAAAGTTAGTTAGATTAACAAATGCAACAGAACTTGAGCATCTAAACTGTTTTCCATTTAAAAAGTTGCCAGCTGGTCCAGGTGACACTCCTCCTACCCAGCCTACTTTTATTCTTGTCATTATTTTCATTATTCCTTGTTCTGAGAATTGTTGCCAGACACTCATCAAGCCATAGAAGAAATTTAACCTCATAGTCTAGTGTTCATCTTGATTTTTGCCAAAGTGATGTCAGATAGATGGCTTTTAAAGAATAAGTAAATGAGTAAAAATCCGGCCTCTAATTAAAAGATTGCCACCACTGTGGACAAGGCTCGCACAAACTTGCAAAGTAGCAGAGTGGAGGCAGCTCAGCTGAAATAAGTGCACAGTAGCCATGAGGGAACTAATCTGAAGGAACTAACACTGGCCAGCACTGTAGGCTCCAGCTGGTGTATTTAGAATTATACCTTGGATTGTCATATAGCAAATAAAGTGATGTTTTATCTGACTAGAATAACTCTAGAGAGAAAAAAAAAAAAACACAGAGGATAGTGCCCAAGCCACAGAAGTCGTCCCACCTCAGCCCGTCACGATCACACAAACAGGGGGTTTAACCGCCAATGACAAATGGGAAACCTGTGTGTGTCACACTTGTCCCAGTCTTACTTGCCTTTATGGACTATTTTCCCCAACTAAAATGTCCTCACAGTTCAACCTGGGCTGCCCTATCATTGATGGGGCAGAAATTTTGCCATTTCAAGCACTACTTGTGTGTGCTTGAAATGTATGCCTCGAGAAAGAGGATTAAACCTTGGCCTTGGAATCCACACACAGCAATGCTTTCACAATTAGATTAATTAGAAGGAAGGTAGGCTGAATTCAAAGAAAATCACTACTTTAGAATTTTCCAAGAGATGTGGTTTTGTGACCATCTCTTGTTTTTCTCCCACCGCCCCCAATTTCAGGGCTTTCAAGGACATAACACGGGACAAGTTTAAGGTGTAGGGAGCTATTAACTAGTAGCAGGATAATAACAGACAGAAAGCTGATTAATCGGCTTGTTCAACAGCCCATTGCTAGGATGTGAAGACTTGGGGTTCCGTGCCAGGTCTGTCAGACTCCCACAAATCAGATCTTCTGCTGTATTGGTCTCTGTTACCTAAGAATAACTCCTGGAATCAGATCCTCTCCTCTACTGGTCACTGTCACCTAAGAACAACCAGGAACCTTATTGCAGCAACCTGGCGTAAGGGTCAATGAGAAGAAAGTCTTTGAAATAAAATTAATTCTAACAAGCATCTAAGATTGGGCTTCAGGTGTCTATCCCAGTTTGCCAAGTATGTATATGTAGAGAGAGGCAGGCATATAAAGAAACAAAGATCAGAAAAGGCTCTGGTCTGGAGATGTTCATGACATCTTCCTGTCATGATTCCTTTGCGCCTACAAACACTAAGACTCTAACTCAGAAAAAAAAAAAAAAAAAAAAAAAAAAAAAGAATCTAACTCAGGGAAGGGTGTAATGAAAGAGGGTCCCTGCCTTTAGGCTCATATATTGATAATAAGAATCTATTGAGATACTCTGGTGGCCACATGCCAAGAATGCTTTGAAAAGCGCCTACAGGGATTTAGGGTGATGAAGGTAGATTTGAAACAAGTCAGTAAGAGTAGGGGCAGTGTGAACAAAGACTATGTTCGACTTTCTTTCTTTTTAATTTTTTTCTTTATTATTCTTATTTACCGCACTTGGCTGGTTCTAGATTAGAGCAGTTATACTCTGAAGTCACTGGCTCAGCTAGGTCCTCCTCATAATGCAGGAAGATAGGAAGACACCATTCCCTCATTGGATGCTAAACATCCAACCCTACTGGACAGGCAGTTACTTTTGCTTCCTCTAGGGAAATCCTGAGCCAGTTTCTCCACTTTTCTCTATGGTTGTCTTGTGCACAGGAGAGACCTAATAAGGAGGGTTAATCATCCCAATGCCTTTTGCATGTGTGATTTATATAACTCTCAAGTGGCTCTGTGCCAAGCTTGCTGATAAGATTATTTCTCTGCAATAGGTTAATTAACAGAGATTCAAAATGCATAAAGAATATTTCCAGAATCTCACAAAGCTAGAAAATGGCTTTTGGTACCTCCAACCTCAGACAAGAGATCTAGGGTTTTGCCCATAAGAGTGCAAGACTAGAGAAGGAGTGAGGAGAGACTAGAGGGAGGTAAAAGAAAGAAAATAAAAGAGACTTAAAAGTTTTTGTGATGGTTTTTAATCTATTTTCAGGTGCAGACAGGATTTGGAAGGCTGGGCTCTCACTTCTGGGGCTTCCAAACACACGATGTACTGCCTGACATCGTCACTATGGCTAAAGGAATTGGGAACGGCTTCCCCATGGCAGCAGTTGTAACCTCTCCAGGTAGAATGTCCAACACTTGATGCAACTGGGCCTCTTGTGCCAGCAATGCTATAAAGCATTGGTTTCAACATGTGTGGGCTAAAGGCAGTAATGGGTACCACATGATTTATTGTCTAAGTGAATGAAAGAAAAAGTTTATCTGCCAAGCCATGGGGCAGATGTAAGAGAGATGGCCATTCCTGTCTTGCTAGAGAGAAGAAAACCTCTTCCATCACAGTAGTTAAAGTCAGGGTTCTACCATACTGAGGAGGGTTAGGAAAATGGGTAACAAAACAAAACCCTGAAACTTCCAAAATAATTTTTTTCTTGAAAGAGACTCTTCCATAGTCACTTGGTCTTCACATGGCATTAACTATACATTCAAGGTCCAGATTTCTCTGACAGATTTCTCCCATCAACAAGTCAACTAAAATAAAATCTCATCTATCCAGAATAGAACAGTCTATGACGATGATTCTCAACCTGTGGGTTTGATCACTTTGAGGGATTCATGTCAGATATCCTATAATTTGTAGGATAAATTTATATGATAAATTTATCTGATACATTTATAGGATATCTATATCATATAATTTATAACAGTAGCAAAATTATAGTTATGAAGTAGCAAAGAGCTAATTTTATGGTTGGTGGTCACCACCTTTAATAAAGGAAATTTATTAAGGGGTCACAATATTAAGAATGTGGAAAAGCAATGATCTATGAAATAAAGGTTAAAATTTAATTTTCTATTGTAGTGAAGCTTTGACCGGTATTATTTCTTGTAAGCCATTGATTATTGAAAAATATTTTATTTACATTTCCCTCCAATGGTCAGCACATTTCTGAGCCATTAAATAATTAAATGCCTTGTGATATCTGTTTGCATTGAATAAGCAAATGTACAAGAAGCATAGTTATACATGGAAATGTGACAATAGAATCCATCACTTTGTATAATCATTAGCATAATTTAGAACCAATAATGTGTGATTGTAGAAAGTGAAGTGCTAAATTGGTCATAAGGGATCATTTTCTCTATACTTCCTTCTTGATCTCAAGAGCAGAAATAAAAGATGTGGTTAATTGAAGATTTTATATAAAGTTCTGCATGTCAAGTTTTAAGGTGCCTTCTAATTCATGTGGCACATTAAAGAAAGTGGTTGTCACTGTCTCGTTAAGTAAATGAGTTGTCTTCTTTATCTACTTGTATTAGTCAGCTCAAGCTGACAAAGCAAGACACCATGGACCAAGTGGCTAAAAGAACAGAAATTTCTCTCCCTTCAGATGAGAAGGCTGTCAAGATCAAAGTGCTGGCAGGGCTCCGTTCTGCTTAGGATTCTTGTCTGGCCTTGCAAATAGTCACCTTCTCATCCTTTCTCCAAATGACCTTCCCTATGTGTGACCACAGAAAAGCAAAGGAGACCACTCTAGAATCTCTTATTGTGAGAGACACTGGGGCCCCAGCTTTGCAATCCGTTTCATTTTACAGACTCAGTCTCCACATATAGTCAGTCTTGGTCCTAGCATTTAAACATATAGATTTTAAGGGAACACATTTCAGCCTGTCACTGTTAGATGAGTGAAGAAGGAGATAAATGGATGTCATTTACAAAATTGAAAGTGAATGTAACCCCAATGTATTGATGAGACGTAATGGGTAAGAACATGTCATTTTAACCACCTTTCTTCCTTTTCCAACCTTAGAAATTGCGAAGTCTTTGGCTAAATGCTTACACCACTTCAACACATTTGGAGGAAGCCCCCTGGCCTGCACCATTGGATCTGCTGTTCTTGAGGTCTGTCATACTCTGCACTCCAACTTCATTGATTGTACTAAGTAACTAGTTCTAAACCACACACTTTATCAGAACTCTATCACATTGCAATGGTAAAGTAGCATTTTTTCATTGACAATTCACCAATTTAAATTTTGTCTCCAGTTAATATTCTTTGTGCCCTCCTTTTAAAGAATGCTTTGGGTGCTTGGAGTTCTGAATGAGAGAGGCAGTATATAACCAACCTGACATGTGTGGGATGTGTAAGAATTGCCCTATTCAGGTGATAACACTGAATTTTTCTTGTTTTCTAGGTGGTATATCATGTAAAAGTTTAACAGCTATTCACCCTTTTAACTTAAATTTTGCCATGTACTACGGATGGTTTTCTTCGTTTTGTTGCCATAAATGAAAGACCTATAAATAAACTAGGTTTTGGCTGATTATAATTCAGCTACTCTGAAAAAAATTATTCTGCCCTTTCACATTCATTTAGCTTTATATGAGCCAAACTTATATTTTTTATTGTTTTATAGAAGCATATTCATGTGCTTTAATCAAATCTACCCTTTTTTCTCTCCCTTTTAATTACTCCCCTATAACCTCCCACTTTTTCTTCTCAACTTCATGTGCTATTTCTTTTTAATTCACTGAGTCTGTTTAGTGATGCCTATATGTGTATAATTGCAGGACCACATACTAGACCATGGGTAGCCTCTTATAGGGCCCACTTTTCTGAAGAAAACTGACTTTCCCTCCTCAAGCAGGCATCAGTTCCCAATGGCTCCTCAAATAGGAGTGGAACTTCTTGAGTTTCTCCTCCATGCATTCTGGAGTGTTCACTGGCTTCATTATGTGCAAGTCTTGTGCATGCAGTCTCAGCCAGTGTGAGTTCTTGTGTACAGTGACACTGTCGTGGCCTGCAAATACTGTTTCACTGCAGACACATGCTCCCTCTGGCTCTTATAGTCTTTTCACCCCCTGTTCTACAGTGACCCCTGAACTTCAGGAGAAGATGTCAGTTAGAAGTGAGCACTCCACAGTCTCTTATTCTGTGGAGCAATTGTAGATGTTGATCGCCATTTACAACAAAAAGAAGCTTCTTTGATGAGGGTTAAAAGATGTCCTTTAAAGTCCCTTGGAGAGAACCAATTATCATTATTGTGCTAAATTACTAATGTACTTAGTAATAAAGTGCCCACATCCTTGTCTTTGTTAGCCCACTATTCTGTAAAAAAATATGTTTTTTATAAAATATTTTAACCAAAATGTACAATGCCTTTTGCTTAAATAAGCATGTTTCCAAAAATACTTTCGGACGGTTTTTTTTTTTTTTTAAGTTGAGTTTATATGAAGAGAAACTTGGCTAGAGTCAGAGATCAGTTCCAACCATTCTGCTGTTTACATGTTGTGCTTCTTATTTTGAACTATGGATATGACTCACCTACTCATGAAATTTAAAAGTATCCGGTAGAAATAAAGAAGCTAAAGCTATTAATACTGATTAAATGCTTTTTTTTTAAAGTATGATTAAGTCATGAGATGTGAACAAGTGGGAAGAAATGTGACATTTACTTTTTTGTTATTGTTGATACTGCCATCTTTTTTCCCCTTTTATTGAAAATAATTTTTTTCTCATATAATAACATCCTGATTATGATTTCCCCTCATTCTACATCTCCCAATTTCTCCCCACCTCCCCTCCCATCTGGTTCCTCCCCATTTCTGTCTCTCATTAGAAAATGCAAAAACTTTAAAAGGATAATAATAAAATCAAATACAATGAAATAAAACAAAAGTTAACACATTGGAATAGAACAAAACAAACAAAGGGAAAGAGCCCAATAAAATGCACAAAGAATAGATATAAACACAAAGACCCACACCTTTGCATTTATATATATATATTTCACCTTCACTTCAACAGGGTTCCCTGAACCTTGAGAGAAGGAAATTGATGGAGACAACCTACATATTGTCTGGCTATGGGTCCCTGTATTTGTTCCCATCTGTCATAAGAGAAAGCTTCTCTGATGATGGCTGAACAAGGCATTGATCTATAAGTATAGCAGAATGTTGTTAGTAGACACCTCATTGCTATTTTTATGCATATATATGACGTATATGTTATAAGTGTATGTATAATATATAATAAAACCTATAAAATATGTAATATATACTATTATACCACCCAGGCATTAAGCATATCTTGCAGGCAGGGCTTCACTGTAGATCAAGGGGTTCATGACTAGCTTATTGTTTACATTACTCCATTGGTAGCACACAGAATGGCTTTCTGTACCAAAGACTCTAGAATGTGGGGTGAAGACTCTAGATAGGTACCAGCTCAACTTCTCCATGTTTAACGAGTTGTGTGGTTGTTATCTTCATCAATGGAGCCTTACTATCAGCTTGTAGAAAGCAAGCTATTGTTTGGCAACAGCCTGAGTTGCATGGGGGATTTCCATGTGTTCCCTTTGGTCATCAACTCAATTAGATGTAAGCTAACCCTGGTACTGGAAGCTTTCTTTGGTGACAAGAATTGTCCAGATGATCTATCTCTATTTTTTTGGCAATTTCATTAAGATTGCCTTCAAATTTGTATATATTTTAGAAAGCTTCTACTGTACTAGGTTTCCATATTACCCCACAAATGGCCCTTAATTTTAACTGTCTCTCCACATCTTCCCTCCCTCATCCTCCTCTTCCCTCTCCTCTCACTTCATCCTCCCATTCCAGTCTACCCCCACCCCCACCTATAGCTATCTATTCTGTTTTCCATTCCTAGAAAGATCTCTCTGCCAGAGAGATCCCCCTCTCCCGGGTCCCTCCCTATATACTACCTTCTGTGGTTCTATGAATTATAGTTTGGTTATCATTGACTTAATAACTATTATCCACATAGAAGCAAATACACACCAGATTTGTCTTTCTGGGTCTGGGTTACCTCACTCAAGATAATATTTTTCTAGTTACATTCATTTGCCTGAAAATTTCATGATGTCATTGTTTTCATCACTGAGTAATACTCCATTATGTAAATATGTCACTTTTTTTTTTTCTGTTGAGGGACATCTAGGTTGTTTCCAATTTTTAGTTGTTGTGAATAGAGCAGCAATGAACATGGTTGTACAAGTGTCTCTGTTATAATGGAACATCCTTTGGGTATCAAGAATGATACAGCTAGATCTTAAGGTAGATTGATTCGCACCTTCCTGAACTCACACTGATTTCCATAGTGACCATACAAGTTTATGCTCCTACCAGCAGTAGAGGAGCAAGAAGTTCCTCTTGCTCCATTTCCAATATGAGCTGTCACTTGTGTTTTTAATCTTAGCTATTCTGACAAGTGTCAGATGGAATTTCAAAGTTTTCATTTGCATTTCTCTGGTGGTGAAGATGCTGAACATTTCTTTAGGTATTTTTCAGGCATTTGAGTTTTCTCTATTAAGAATTCTCTGCTTAGGTCTGTTGCCATTTTTAGTTGGATTATTTGCACTTTTTTTTTGGTATCTGGCTTCTTATGTTCTTTATATATTTTCATATCAGTCATCTGTTAGATGTTGAGTTGGTGAAGATCCCTTCCCATTCTGTAGGCTGCTGCTTTGTCTGGTTGATATGCCCTTTGACGTACCAAAGCTTTTCAGCTTCATGATGTTCTGTTTATTGTCAATCTCAGTGCCTCCATTATTGGTGTTTTGTTCAAAAAGTTGTCCTCTGTGCCAATGTGTTCAAGATTATTCCCCACTTTCTCTTTTATCAAGTTCAGTGTGTCTATCTGGTTTTATGTTTAGGTCTTTGGCAAACTTGGACTTGAGGTTTGTGCAGGGTAATAGGTATGGATCTTTTTAATTCTTCAACATAGAGATGCTCATTAGACCAGCACCATTTGTTGAAGATGTGTATTTCCAGCATGTATTTCTGGCTTCATTATTAAAAGTCAGGTGTCAGTATATGTATGAACTTAAGTGTATGTCTTTAATTCAAATCAGGAATGGAGAGAACTTCAGTAGTTATCATTCAGGATTTTTTTTTTAAGCTATCCTGAGTTTTTTTGTTTGTGTGTTTTTCCATGTAAAGTTGAGAATTGTCTTTCTAGGTCTGTAAAGAATTGTGTTGGAATTTTGATGGTGATTGCATTGAATCTGTAGATTACTTTTGGTAGGATAGCCCTCTTTACTGTTTTTCCTTTTGATCCACAAGCACTGACAATCTTTCCATTTTCTGATATCTTCTTCAATTTCTTTCTTCAAAAACTTGAAGTTTATAATCACACAAGTCTTTCACTTACTTAAGAGTTTAGAGTTACCTCCAACACATTTTGTTTTATTTGAAGCTATTGTAAAAGATGTTGTTTGTCTGATTTCTTTCTCAATCCATTTGTCAGTTAGCTATAGGAAGGCTACTAATAGAGATCTGCCTTCCTGAGTGTGGGGATTATAGGCATGCCCACCACACCTGGCTAAATCACACAATACTTATTCACTAAGCATTGTTTTTCATGACTGCATGCCAATGTTCAGAAAAACCTGAAAATTGAACTTCCATGTTATGGAATAAATGTTCCTGACATTTCTTGTATTCTAGCTTGCCTCTATAGGTGGGCAGGTTCAGAGAAATCCTCTTTTCCAAGATCGTTTCATTCCTTACAGCAGATTTCCACATGGTCCGTGGTCTGTACACACCAGGCTTTATTCTAGGTCTTACTTTTCTAGTTAAATTACTATAAAGAGGACCACGGGCATTTATCTCTCTGAGCTTCTCAGTCAAACCTCCAACTTTTGCCCTGAAAACTATTTAGTGCTGTCTCCCAACAGGTGATCAAAGAAGAAAATCTACAGAAAAATAGTCAAGACGTTGGCACCTATATGCTACAGAAGTTTGCTGAGCTGAGGGATGAATTTGACATCGTTGGGGATGTTCGAGGCAAAGGCCTTATGATGGGGATAGAGTTGGTTCAAGACAAGGTAACCATCTGCTGCTGCCTGGGTGGCTGCCTGAGGCCAGTAGTTGATAATGTAGGAAACTGACATGCTGGAGCTCACACTATGAATAGCTGTTACTTACTGTACATAATACACTACCGGGGTCCATAGGCAAGGTAGGAAACCTGAATGGAAGCAAGCTCAGTGCACTGAAAGAAGCCCTCATCTACCTCTGAGGCTGATCCATGAGCAGGATCTAAATCTAAAATGCCAGACTTACTGATGATATCTCCTATCATGTTCTGTGAAGGAAACTAGAGAGACTAGAGAGTGCAAAGGCACCTAAGACTTTTTAAGGAGATTGGAAGAGTTCCCAAGACAGCTACTTAAGGATCATTTTTTAAAAAAATACTGATGCTAAATCTTTCCAAAAAATAAAAATAAAGTTCTACATTGTCTAATCATAAGACCCATATTTTTGTAGTATGAAAGAGTTTCAGATAATGCAGGTACACTTGGGACTAAAATAAATAAACTGGAGGTAAATATTTGTGCTCATAGACTGAGAGTGAAGGGACACACGCAAATGATGCAAGCTCCAGGCCAATGTCACCAAGGTAGCATGCCTGAGCCCTAAGTAAGGGACCAATCTAGAGACTGGTCCTCTTTGCTTCCAAGAACTTACTTTTCCTGGCCCTGAAGGATGGAGTCTTAGAAGAGCAAATCCCACAAACATGGAGGATTGCTTGACTCTACACAGCTCAATGGCCGTGCCTTGAACACCTTCAGTTCCATGTGCCCTTGTGGCAACTTCTGAGCCACTTTTTGGACTTCCGAATGAACTCTGGTCAAGCAGAGCATTGCAAAGAGTCGAAGAGGATTTCAACACCAACAAAATAGATCCCAAATTCAGCTTGTAATGGATCGACCTGCCCACCCCCATCCAGGGTAACCATTAGCAGGGCCAGGGTTCACTTGCCACCTGCATGAAATTTCACTTTGTCTTTGGGAATTTGGGGATGAAGTAAAATAAAAGCAAATAAGCAACCACTTTAATCACCATCACTACCACCACCCTCAAAAACCAAAGCCCTCTGGTTCAGCAAGCAACTAACAGCATTGTTTAACTAAAGAAACAGGGATTGCATGCATTTTGTGTTCCTGGAGTTTTGTCTGGGCACCCTGCCTTGGGAAATAATTCTTCTAACTTTTCTTTTTCTTTCTTTCTTTTCTTTCTTTCTTTCTTTCTTTCTTTCTTTCTTTCTTTCTTCCTTCCTTCCTTCCTTCCTTCCTTCCTTTCTTTCTTTCTTTCTTTTCTTTCTTTCTTTCTTTCTTTCTTTTTTTATTATTTAGTTTGATTTTCCAAGACAGGGCTTCTCTGTATAACCTTGGCTTTCCTTGAACCCAAAGGGATCTGCCTATCTCTGCCTCCCTAAGTGCTGGGATTACAGGCATGTGCCACCCTGCCTAACCAAGTAGAAAACTTTTTTTTAAATATATTCACAGATGAGCCGCCAACCTCTTCCTAAAACAGAGCTCAATCAAATCCATGAGGATTGCAAAGACATGGGGCTCCTAGTAGGCAGAGGCGGCCTTTTTGCTCAGGTAAGACAATGCTTGCCTGTTAAATAGGGTCTCTCTGGTGTTACACTATGGTAGGGCACCCAGTTGTCCTTCCTCTGCATTATGATAATGCTTGGGAATAGTTAAAAGAAAAGGACAAGACATGGCTTCTGGCCACTAGAGGGTGATGTGGTTAAGTGATTCAGTTTTTTGTTTTGTTTTGTTTTTTATTTTTTGTTTTTGTTTTTGGTAGGCAAAAGAGAGATATAGAGAGGCCACACAAACTAGCTAGACAATCCACTCGTGCAACGTATACATTTTACATATATA